GTCTCGGTGTGGTTTTAATTGGGTTGAGGTTACTTTGCATTTTGTATGCTTCATTTACCTGAATATAAGATTGTTTCATCATATTTGAGAAGTTTTCTGCTATTGCATCTGCCCATATTTTTTTAATGTCATTTGTATTGACTCCTTTTTTCTCATTGATGCCTATTAGTCTCAAATTTTTCATCTTTGCATCATTTTTCAGGTGATAGATTATTTTTTCCTGCATCCTAGTTGTTTTTAAGAGATTCTTTATCTTTTCACTAGGTGCACCAGCGCCTTCAAGATCTGAAACTCTTTCTTCACTTTCACTTAAACAGTTTTGTAAGCTTGTGATTGAGATTTTAATTTCCTCTATATCTTTTTGACTCTGCTTCATGTGATCTATTTCTTTCCTGTATTGCTCATTCATAGAATCCGTCATTTTTGTAATGTTCTCTATTTTTTTTTATCAATGTCTTCTTTAGCAGCAGTTATAAATTCTTTTACTGCAGTGTTTTTTTTTCAGATTGGGTTTCCTCCTTATGTTTCTGTATTTGATTCTTTACTTCAGATGGTATGAGTTCTGAGAATTCATTTTTATTTCAGAAAATAATTCTGCTTTGAGTTCCTCTATAACTTTCTGCTGTTGCTTTTTTACTATCGATGGTATTAATTCGTACATTTGAGCTGAGGTAGTAGACAAGAATTCCATTTTGAATTCCTCTATGACTTTCTCCTGTTGCTTTTTTACTATGGACACTATTTATTCATACATTTTGCTGAGCTAGTGTCCTCTGCACTTGATCTGGGTGACCATTGGTTTTCCTCCATATGTTTCTGCATTTGATTCTCTACTGCAGATTTTATTAACTCAGTTATTTCTTTTTTCATTTCCAATCTGAGTTCCTCTATAACTTTCTGCATCTCTTTCTTTATTTCAGAAGCTGTTGATTCATTGCTTTCAGCTGTGTGATCCCCAATTTGTTCTGTGTTAGTGGCTTCTGCACTTTTTATCGGTGGGCTTGGGGTCTGAGATTGCATTTTCCTTCTTCTCATTGTCATTTTGTGTAGCACTCCCTTCTGAACTTTGTTGTAGATCTTTGTTGCATTTATAGCCTTAGCACCTACTGAAGTTCAGTTGTAGATCTACAATGTTTGGATTTATCCAGATGTTCCTGGCTTGGTTCTCACTGCTGTGTTTAGTTCCTTCCTGTTGTTGTGCTTGGGGATTAACTTGTTGTGCCCCTCCGACAAGGTGTTCTGCTCCTGGACTAGCTGGGTGTTTCTGTCCCATACACTCTCTGCAGGGATTGCAGCTGAAGGGTTTCACCACAGGCCTGTATGCCAGGCCCCTGAGCTGAGTCTGGAGGGGACAAGGTGGAGTAGGGGTGAGAGTCAGCTCTCCCAAACACTCACTAGACCTGGACTAGGACTGGATGTGGGGGTTCCGAGAACATGATAGAAATTCCTACTTTGTGGGCTATTTGTAGGGAGGTACTATGGAGTGAAAAGAATCATCCCAAGAGGGTGAAAGAGGTTCTCACCTATGCTGCGCCTGGGCTGGAACCAGTAGGTCCTGCCAGCACAATGTAGCTGGAAACCCTCCCACACACTTACTGGGACTGGGCTAGGACTGAGTCTCGGGGTTCCTGGAAAGAGGCAGAAATTCCTACTCGGAAGGTGGGGTGGGGGAGGTGCTTCAGAATGGTGGGTGGAGTCCCAATGGAGTGGAATATGTTTTCATCCACACTGCTCCTGGGCTGGGATGAGTAGGTCCCACCTGAGCAGGGTAGCTGGAAGCTCTCCCACACACTCAACATGCCTGGGCTAGGACTGTAATTGTATTTCCTTTCTCAGAATATATCTCCTAACTCACTGGCACTTCATCACGTATTGTTAGCATGTAAGACCTCTTGTTTGTTTCAGCAGAATTCATTGGTCACCTTTTCAGTGCTCTTTTTCTTTTATAATATCTTCTTTATTTAATGCTAGAAATATATTCTGTTCTATTACAAGTTGTTGTATTGATGTATGAGAGTTTGACCTACATTTACAAGTGACATTGGTGCATATCCCTGTATATTTTGGGAACAAAAATAGCTAGGAAATATGTTACAGGATTCTGTAATTAGCCAAATTAGCAGAACCGTGAAGAGATGTGTAGCCAGCTTGTTGTTTTGAGACTGCATAGGTCTTTACATCAATGAGGGAGGAGAATCTGAATTGCTCCAGGGGACTGTAGTCTCATTGATGAGTGGAATTCACAAGACCGGTATACTCAGAAGGTCTGAGCATAAATAACATAAATAGGCCTCACCCAAAATGAGGTCTCAATTAATGTTTGCTACTGTCTGGAAAATAGCACTGGAGGTACACAGGACATTTTAGATGCCAGCTTACATTCCCTTACAGTCTGCCCTTTTCTCTCTGCCCTCACCAACCACACTTGTGCTTGCTACATTTGCACATGTTTGATACCAAAAACATTGTGTTCTTCTCAGTAATTTGTTTTATGCTTAGTACATACATATTTACTTTTTATTTCACTGAAATTAGAGAAACATTATTTTTGTATACAAGGAAAACATAAAAATGAAAACAGACCAGTCATATCACATTAACACCACCCAGTCACACATTCCTGTGACATAGATAGTATTCATTAAATGATAAGGATCATTTACTAGATCCTCCATTTTTGTACAAAAATGTTCCAACCTATACATTGGCACTTAGCTCATGAACTTAGTTTTTTCTATGAACTTGGAAAAAAATGGCCACATTGTGTGTGTGTGTGTGTGTGTGTGTGTGTGTGTGTGTGTGTGAAAGATGGCCAAGGACATGTTTGTCATTCAATGCAGAGTTTGTAAACAAAAACAAAAATTTACTATACATTTCAGTTTGCAAATAAAATTATTTGCAAATCAAACGGTTCGCAAAGCAAAGTACCACTGTCTACCCATGAAAGGAACAGCTGTATGTTGCCTTTTTATTTATTTTTATAATATTGTGTTTATATCATATATATTTCTGAATTGGCTCTTGTCAATAAGCAAATATTTATAGTCCTTCAGATAGATGTGCATCATTGGAAAATCAACTGCATATGATTGCATTCATAATATATAAATACTATATTTTACATTTAGTTTTATTTATTTCCATTATTTTTCAATTTTTCTTGCTACAAACAATATTTTAATAAATACACGTGAACATGTGCCATTCATGCTGTTAATTTACCTTGTTGCCAATAATGATATTATTAGATCACAAAATGTATATATTGGAATAGAAATCGTTATACTGCTTTCTAGCACTGGTAATTTTCAATTGGTTTCTCATTTCATGACATAAAATATTTGATTTTTTGACAATTTGTCCATTAAGATCAAATACTTTGCGTTGCGACAGCCTGCACATTTCATTCTAAGATATTTGAAGTCTAAAATAAGTACAAGAGATCTTACTGGCTGACAGTTCCAACCTACTAATGCATCAAATTTTCAGAATTGAATAGTATTATAGTTTATTCTTTTTTTTCCATCCTTCTTTGGCATTTAAACATGATTCAACTTCTTTCAGCATTGTTTTCCTCTTAATTCTGTCCCTTTCCCTGCCCATCTTTCTGTCTGTCTTTGTTTCTGTCTCCTTTTCTCTCATCCATCATGAGGGCTTTTTTAATGTTTTGCTATCGGTGGCATCCAGGTGCAACTGGAAAGGATATGATGATAACTATTTCGAAGTCAGCTACTTTCTCTCTTTCTTGCCATCTTCTCTTCTCCTTTTCGCTTTGAAACACGGAGACTGAAGGGATATTCAGCTATAAGGCCATAGGTTGGTCATATATTTCTTATAACAAGAAACAATTCCTTGAGAGGTAGTGAAGTTAGCAGACCTGAGAGTGAACAAGCACCAACAGAGGTCCTTATCACTGGGAACAGAGATGTCTAGGAGACTTGATAGGATTATTTGGAAATATATACAAATTATGGTATTTTAGCACAAGTATTCCGTATGTGACTAATTTCTTTATACTGTTTTGCATTCACATATATATTTATGTGTGACAGTTTTCTGTTCTATTTTATGTTTGTGTCATCTCAGGTGTTATTTCAACTTGATGAATATACATTTTAATTTTGAGCAAATCTCTGTATCATAAAACTTAGCTATTACCTACTTACCTATCATTTCTTGACTCCCACTACTTCCTTGTTACAGAATAGAAATTATTCTGTTATTCCTAGTTCATAATTTTACATTAAAATCAAATGGAATAACAAATGCAAATGATTTTTTCATTATATGATAATACTTAATACTGCAAGTCATCAACGTTAATTTACATTTCCCTCATCCCACTTATAGGCAAGAACTTAACAGAATTATTTTCAGCAGATTTTATGCAATGGAAAATTATCAAGCCATTTCTCACAGCATTGGAAAAAGAGTGATAAAAACTTGGAGACTGATGCTAAGTATCACCCAGTGGAAAGAAAAGGTTCTCTAAAAGGAGAAATCTCATGTCCTAATAACAGTATGTGACACATTTCAAGGAATTTTAACAAATTTAAATGCAAAACAATGCAGTGAGAAATTTGTTACATATGTTTTGATTGTTGAACAAAAACAAAAGCATTTGTCAATGTTCTGGGAGTTGTTTGATCACACTACTACAGATTCCAGGTTTTTAACAACAGAAAATTAACGTTTTTATGAACATATACCAACTCCTCACAATAAATGTAATCATTATATACTGTAAACTTGCAGTAACAACAACAAAGAAATGTCACCACCAGAATTGAAACTTGGGTGTATGCTGAGCCTAACTCTCTGCATTTTCAGTGGAAATCACCCAGGTCTGCTAATGACAAATCAAAGCATATAGAACAATATCCAATATGGAGGTGATATTGGTCATGTTATGTGGCCTCCTCTCATCATCTAGCCTGAGCTCTTGAGCCTTGGGACCTATCCAGTCAACACTAACCCCAGCTTCTACACTCTTTCTGCAGGGCAAAGACCCAAGAGCTGTCCAGACTCTGAACTCTGCACAGGTACCTCAGTCACACTTTCTTCTTCATAATTCCCAGGATCTTCTTCCTACAAGAAACCCTGTAAGAGCAGGTCTTGCTGTGTTTGCAGAGAGAGAAAAGCTGTGGCTCAGGGGCGGAGACAATAAATGCTCAGGGAGAGTGGAAGTGTGGCACAAAGACTCCTGGGGCACAGTGTGTGATGACTCCTGGGGCCTGGCAGAGGCCGAGGTGGTGTGTCAGCAGCTGGGCTGTGGCCCTGCCCTGGATGCCCGGGGAAAGGCTGCATTTGGCCCAGGAAATGGAAACATCTGGCTGGATGAAGTGCAGTGCAAGGGACGGGAGTCCTCCTTATGGGCCTGTGCCAGGGCACCCTGGGGACACAGCGACTGCAAGCATGAGGAAGATGCGGGTGTGATGTGTTCAGGTGAGTAGTACAGTCAGGGGCATGGTCTGTGGGTGCAGAAGGTGTGTGTGTGTGTGTGTGTGTGTGTGTGTGTGTGTGTCCAAGAGCCTTTTCTGCACTGTTCCCTGCTCAGTTCTTTGGGTCTAGAGAGGCTTCACATTGAGCTCCTCACGTGTTGGAGAGAATCACGTGCAGTGATAGTAGTTTTGACCTGGTTGTTGTCATCAGCAAATTTCATTGACTCCAATTTTCTTCTCTTGTCTTCAGGTGAAAAAATGACCATTCTCTCCACTCCTTTAAGTAAGTGATTCTTCTGCTCCGCACCATATAATAGAGGAGATGAACAGTTATTCAGTGATCTGAAGTATGGAATCTAGTGTACTTCTTACAAAATTGCTGTAGAGTTGCTGAACAAGTGTAAGAAGTAGCAAAAGCATTTGTTAATTTGTAGAAGCAAAGGGCTCTTATGGTTCACCAGCATTGCTCTAAGGAAATCCTTTGGAATCAGATTGAAACAATAATTGTCACAAGTTAGTGTGGGATTTGGGATATGTGGCTGCAGGATGATCCACTGCTCTGGGGACTGAAAGAGCCTGAGATAATTCTTTCTTTTGCATTTTTCCCTTTCTTTAAAGTCATTTTTTCCCTCAGGCACCAGTTCAGTTCCAGCCCTTGTCCCTGGAAACTTCTCCTTATATAAGATCCTCTGCATCATTCTGGCAACTCTTCTTTTGCTGATCCTTATTATCTTGGGAACTCATCTGGGAAGATGGAGAGCAGGACATCAAGGTGGAGTTTAAATGTGAAGCTCATCTTGAAACTATGTAGGGAAAGACTGAACTAGTTATGATCTTTAAAAAGTAGGTATGACTAACTTCTACTGTTGGTTTCTGGGAAACTATCTTTTGAATTATAGATTTCAAGATTGAAAGACTTGGATAACTGGATTTGGATTTAATGAGGAAGCTCTCAAAAATGATACTGTGACTGAATAATGTCAGAAAAATTGTGTAGAACTCAGTTAAGGTCATAAGATCTACTTATGTCCCATTAGATCACAAAGTTAAGGAATGGATACTGGCTATCCAGAGGCATTTCCCCAAGTGAATGACTGGAAAACAGCATGATTGTCTGTGGTAAGACATATGCCTGTAAACTCATGTTGTTTTTTCTAGCCTTAACCACTGAAGATATTGTTGAAGAGGCCTTGTATGAAGAGATAGAGTACCTTGTGAAGGCAGGGAAGATAGATCTGCTGGACAAAGCAGGTGTGTTATGCACCCTCCTACCTGTTGATGAATTTGTCATCAGTGTGCATATCTTCAACAAGCACAGGTCTACTGCTAACCTTGCATGGTACATTAACTATCCTGCCATTACTATAGTATAATGCATGAGGTAATCAAATTATAAAGACAAAAATTTAATCTTGCTTCACAGCTTCAGCAATGTCAGTACATGGCCACATGACTTCATAGCTGTGGGACATATAGGGGAACAAATTTCTCACCTCATATCTTCCAAGAAGCAAAGAGGTCAAGGAAAGATCAAGGTTGAACATCCTGGTGAGGGTATTTCCCCAATGACCTAATATTTCCCAGCAACCTCACTTCATGTTTCTACCACATTCGTGTCGCACAAAACTGAGGACACAAATTTAAATACATAAGCCATTTGACAATATATGAAAACTAAATCACAGCACATGATCAGCCTCTTCCTAAGACAGGAACTCCGAGTAATTTATCTACAAGGATAAAGCCTCAGGATTTTCTCTGAACCATCCTACCATAATCCTCTGAAGTGTGTATGTAATTTTTTTTATTTGTATCAGGAACTGTGACTCAAGACTCAGATGATAAGCTGCCCTATTACACAAGAGACAGTGAGGAAGATGAAGATGATGAATCTGAATCAGGTAGCAGTGCTATGTACTCTATTGGCTGGTTGGCTGAGCAGGAGTAATCCTTTGGAGGAGAATGTTCTGCTATGGTTGCAAAGGAAAACATTGTTTCTCACTGATCCACATTTTATTTCCATCTTCTCAGTCTAAGACTTTAGGGAAAGAGATGGAGCAGTTAATTTTTATATCCACAACTTCTTATAGTGGGCCACAAGCACACCTAAGATGTATTGTTATATTTAAAAAAATATGTTTTAAAATTAAGTTTGAAAGAGAACCTCTCAAAAGGTTTGCAGGGAATGAATGACAGTAAGAATAATAGTTTTCAGATAGTGATGTTAAGCTCAAATGCCTAAGTTATAGGGTAATAACATCACTAAGATTCTAACTGACAGAAGATCTGCACACTGCTGTACATGGCTTCAGGGTAAATCCTGAGGGGATTTTGATGACATTGTAGGATACAAAAGTTATATTTTTTGTTATACAGGTCTTAATTTATCTTGGTCTTAACCATCCAGTAGAAAAGTGTAAAGACTAGGTATAAAAAGTAAAGCTATATTAATATGCTGCCATGTAAAAGGCTCAAGTCAACAACTTTTGACATTGCAATTCCTATGGATAACCCACTACTGTTATGGACAATTGGTCTATATTGTATTATATTGCTGAATTCACTCACCTACAATATTTAAATGGCAATGGAACACCAATTTCTGACAAAACTAAACGAAAAAGGGAGATATAAATGGAGCATTTTGTAATGGAAATATATATATAAGACTTGTTTTGAAATATATATATATGCAAAATAGGATAGATATGCAGCTACTTTCTTTTAGTTCAATAAGAAGAAAGATTTATACTAAAAGTGTTTAGATAAGATATCATGTCTGCATCTAGTACTCTGAATAACTACCAAAAGGATAACAATCTGCAATGTATTAATTATTGTAACTGTCCTCCTAATTTGGTTTGAAATTGTCTAATCGATATTTCTTTCTCAATATAATTTAAAAAGAATGATAACTTTCCTCATAAGCTAGTGATGTATGAATCATTTTATGATTCATGTTAGCATTGCAAGCAAAATATTTGCTAATCCTTCAAATATATGAAATATAAGACCCACATTCTTATTAATTACCAGATTTTCTTTACGAAAGACCCAGACAGAGAAAAATTCACCCTAAATATTATCGAAGTGAAAAAGATGTACAGATCTTAGGAGGGGATGTGATTAGGAGGGTTTTGAGGATGTGGGATTCTAAGGAGGTACTGTATTAGTGATTGTTGAAATCCACACTCTCCAGGATTGCTTTAACATATGTCTGTGAGTGATAGAAGCCCATGTGTTCATGCCATTGCAGCTCCGTGTCTCTCACTGCCTCAGCAAGCCCATGGTAGCCTGAATTCTTTTCGTTCAAATTCAGTTTGCCTTAGTCAGTGATTTGTATTTATCCTGTCAAACTGTGTGCTAAATGCCTGAAAGTAGAACCTAAAATTTACTTATTTATCTATTTATCTATCTATCTATCAACCATCTATCTATTCATTTATTTATTTTTTTTAGTGGTTGGCTCAGTCCACCTTGGGGTCGGAGCTTGTACATGTGGTGCCGAGGATCGAACTGTGGTCCCTATGCACTTACTGAAGCTTGCTGGAGCAGGCACTTTAGACTGCTAAGCTATCTCATATCATAATGACTTCTTGTTTTTCAATATGAACGCCATTTAAGTAATTATTGTTGATCTTAATACATTGTAATATTTAGAAGATTTACAGAATCATGGTCCTCCTAACTTTTGGACCATGTCTCATTCAGTGGATAGATTAGATTATAGTACACAGTAGACAAAGTGCAGATGATGGTTTTGAAGGAAAATACAAGGTACAAGATAGAAAGTATAGTGCCAGAGTATGAATGACTATGTATGTCCTCAGAAAGGAAAACATATCCTTGAGTAGTGAAAGGGCAGGATTGCCTTCATATTCTTTTTGTAACACTATTTCAAAAGAAGTCACTTAAATTCATTTAAATGTACATAAACTCAAGCTCTCATCATATCACATGTAGCTGATCATAAACCCCCTAATAGAAGTGAAGATTGTAGAAATAGGAAAAAACAGAACAACTTGGTAAACATTAATCCATAATGTCCTATGACTGGAATATGGCCAACAGTGTCTGAGAAATGTACACCTTGTGACAATTATTATTTAGCATTCTTGTAAAAGTCCTGAAAATGAGGTAATGTGGTAATGTGGTAACCATGGAAAAATGAAAAGTATATAATCTGGAGATAATTTCTAAACCAGGGCAAATATTTCCTCTGGCTTCTTGTCAGACTCTTGGTCATCAGCTTCAATAAAGCAGTTTTGTTTCTGACAAAACAAACAAACAAACAAAAAAAGAATTTCTAAGAATATTGAGATGAAATGTGTAACTTGGGGGAACCCCTGGAGTATTGCCTAATTTATAATTTCTGTATTAGATAAGACTTAAGACCTCGGCAGACACACAGATTTCTATTACAACTTATCTTTGTTTTCATAACCTTCAGGGCAGTATGATGATGCCAAAGGAAGTGTTATAATGATGTTGAAGAGGTACTTCTTTCTGAAATTCCTTCTTTCCCTGGGAAGAGTGAGAAAAACTTTGTTCCTGAAAAAAGAGATAGTGCCAGGTATTTTCAGACAGTTAGGTAAACAGCTCTTTCTCCAATCCAGCTACATTCATAGGAAAGAAGAGTGGACCCATTGATTATAAGTATTCCTTTGGTATAAAAATTTAGATAGATTTGTGTAACTAGGCAATATTCACGCTTCTCTAACACTGGTACTCATCACAGTGGCCAGACTTTTTTAACAGAGAGAAGCAACCAGAACTGCAACAGGAAGTATCATCCAGCAACTGAAGTATTCTGGTTGGAATGGAGGGCATTTTCTGCTACAGTATAGGTTGTAGAAACCTTTTGTTTTTGCTCTCATTTTCATACACCAAAACAATACTCTGACAATAAATATAGGGGCTCTTTTAAATTATGAGGCATTTATAGATGTTTCTTCATTGTAAGGTGCATTACATCAGTGAGCTCTAAGTACCATTTTAAAGAAACCATATAATCATATTTTTGAAGTTGATATTAGGTAAAATTAAAGCGTGTGTAAAATGACTTTAATTTGAGGCTCATAAAATTTCTTCACTTGGAGGAAGAAATGAATTCACTTCATTTCCACTGTTTCTGTTGATAAAAATGTCCAGATATTCTGCTCATCCTTGGGCATGTGGTATATAAGGAGCATACTACTATGGGATTAGTTGAAATTTTCCTTTTTTGTCATTTGAAAGAGGACTCGAATTATTCTCATGGCTGCTTGGAGATCAAGTGTGTTCTATTATTGAGACACTGAGGAGTCTTGAAAGGCTGTATGCTGTCTCAATTCCTTAAATAATCATACCTGCCTGGTGTGTAAAATAAACACTGATATCGCTTTCCCTTGCTTTGCCATTATGATCACTCCTTCTTCTGTTACTCAGATTAAGATAAGGTTCTATATAAAAACAGTCAGTACAAGATATTAAGCTGGGTTTGGTGGGATAAACTAATTTCTTCACTAGAAGGCAGAACCAGTTGGCTCCCTGTGAGTTCAAGGCCAACCTGGATTACATAGTGAGTTTAAGATAGGCTGAACTTAAGACCCAGTCTCAACTCCTGCCCCTCACAAAAAAGAGCCAGTATGAGACAATTCTATCTTTCATTTCAGATAATTCCTGTCTCCACACTGATAGCTCATAGCCATTCCTTAACTAGTCTTTTCTTTTTCAGTCACACCATGCACTGTTTTTCTTTCATCACTCAAACATTCATTGTCCTTTACTGTTTCAGGTAACTCTCTTCAGGCTCTCAAGAAGCTACCCTCTGTTTCATGGGAGAGAAAGAATCCCCTGTGGCCTTGAGAAAAGAAGAAATTGGGTATGATGATATTGAGCTTGGTGTCATATAGTGAGCTTGGTGCCTTCTTTGGAGCAACCATGTGTGCAGATATCTCCTCTCTAATTTGTTTATCAAATACATGATAATTCTGTCTTCTTTATGGTCGCAAAGTCTTAATATGTGTCTATTATAAATTATGTTATTCACCGTGAATATTCAAACCTTGACTTACCAGTATTATTCTCTTCAATAATGAGGTACATCGACTCCCAAAAGTGCGTCCTCATATGTGTCATTTTAAGTTGAAGATTCACGTTATTTTCTCAAACTACACTCTTGCCTTCCTTTAGATGCAGAGATATGTTTTACTTGAATAGTATAAAGTATGAAAAGTCATCCTGAACTCCATGCCCACATTTAGAATGATGATCAGAAATTGAGACCATGCCTGGGAGTTAGCTCAGTCCCTGAGGTGCCTGCCTGACAAGCAGAGGTCCTGAGTTTGATCCCTGGTACCTAAAATGAAAAAGAAAAACAGAAAGAAAAACTCAAAACAGAAAACTCCACCCAAGTTCCCAAAGTGACTATTCCAAAAACTATTCCACTCATCCTTTCCTAAAACTTAGAAGCCTAATAAAAAGTGAATGGGGTCATTCAGCTGGAAGCGATATGAATATAGCTCTTGTAAATTTACTAAATTTTATAATATGTAAAATTTTTTGTATACACATTTGTACTTTACTACAAAAGCCTTGACTTTATCTTTTTAATTATTTTTATTGGTTCATCTTTGCAATAAATAATGAGTATTTTCTTCATGAGGAGTGATACATGTGCATAATACACTTTAATTCATTGTAATCCCTTCCATTCCTTCCCATCCTCCTTTCTCCATCTCTTTGTCCTCTTCCTTTTTCCAAAACTTCTCTCTCTGTGTTCCCTAAAGAACCTCCACACATTCTCCTCCCCTTTAAAATTGCACTTCTTTTTATTCATCTAATTCTATTGTATTTTATTTTCCACTGGTATTAATTTATGTTTTAATCCTCCCTACCTGGTACTTGTTTAGATCCCCAACTACTGTAACTTCCCCAAGTGCAAGAGCTCTCGAGTTGACTATATTT